CGTTGTAATAGTCTATGGCTCTGATGCAATGCAGCCTGTATTTAAGTGCTTGATTATTGCTCAAAAGCTGAACAATTAATCATTTGGTAATCAAGCTTAAATTGGCTCCATAATAAGGCAGCTGGATTAGTCAAATGTGGGGGCAAATAAATGTCACAGACCTGTTCCTTACTGCAATATCTGTGCCAAAATAAGTTCTCCTTTGCCTTGAAAACTGACCATAACTGCTTTTCCTATCCCTTCATATTTAAATTGGATCATGAGAAACAAATAGATACTTTCTATGTATTTCTTATTAGAAGATGCAATATGTATTTTTTTTTATGGTGACAGAGGAGCAAGGCACTTGGGAAATGGTAGGCCCAGAGCTGGAGGCAGCTAGAATATGAATCTTCTAGAAAGGGATGATGGGGACGATGCTGTGATTTGATCTCAGCCAGGTTTGGTTTTATTACAACTCATGCTCTCTTTAGAAGCTCTTGCCAAGCCCTACTTTTTACCCAGAGACAGCTATGTACACATTTTAGTGGAGCTACACAGCAGAAAGTCGCTCAGGAAGCAAAGCAACTGCTCTCCTGAGGAGTTTTTGTTTGGTGCCAGGTGCTTCTCAAGATTTATCTGTTATCTTGGGAGTATTTTCAGGGCCATTAGTCCGTCAGGTTTCCTAAGGACCTTTCAGGCACCATTCTACACATCCTAAACTGTTGATGGGATGTTTATGGCCATCAGTGCAGGAGAAGCATCCTTTGCTAAGATTATAAAGTCTGTTATTGCCATTGCTTCAAACTGCTTTAAGGAGCCACAGATCAAAATCTGTTGCTGCCTGCCAGCCTAATACTGAAGGTGGTGGTAACTTAGTTCACCATGACACTGGATTTTCTGCTAGATCATGACTTATGTCAGTGCAAAGGGGCTTTCTGTGAGCAGTCCACTGTGTGGGAGTACAGATCTTGTACTAGCGTGTTGCAGATCTTGAATTGATTGCCCTTTAAATGGGGGCATGGTCAAGTCAGAGTGTGTTCAAAAAGAAGTGTAGAGAATGAGTTTGTTTACTTGTTAAAATAATTGATTTACATACGGTGAAGCACTAGGGAAAGCTGCTGCTTGATATTTATTGTTTAAAATTCTGTGCTAAAGCAGGACAATGCTACTACTTGTACACTAGCCTCTTTAAATGGGTTTATATTCTCAACTGCACTCCTTGCCCAAAATGATCAGCTGTAAAATTTGCCAAAGATGAGCTGATTAGTGTCAGAAGGGAAAAAAAAAAAAAAACCAAATGTTGAGTTATAGAAATGTTAATTTCAGAGTGTATAAGCCAAATAAGAAGTTCTTATGTTAGAATAGGACACCCTTTCAAACACAACAAAAGCACCACTAGGTGTAAAAATCAAGTGGGACAGTGTTTCCAGGAGGAACTTATTTATTTGCCTGAAGGTACATTAGGATTGCAGCTTATTGGTGGCAGCCACATGAAAGATGCCAAAAGAACCCAGCAACAAACCCCACCACACTCTTCAGTTCAGGTCAAAAATTAAACTTGCTGCAGCTGCAAGTCTGCTTTCTAAGTGGGCTTTCTTCGCTGTTCTTTATGCACAGATTTTCTGTTTTCCCATCAGTTTCACAGAACTAAGCCTTCTCCTCAGAATAATGTCAGTATTTCCTGGTTTATAGGATATGATGATTTGGACAGCTTGGTATTTCTTGCAAAACCTTATTTCAATTTTGAGAAAACTGCTGAAGCAAACCTATCCTCTCAGACCTCATTCAGATTCCTGACTCCTTGTGCTCTTGAACAAACTTCAATTCTTAATTTTGTTCCTTATTAGCTCAGGAAACATGAAGTGTTCTCTTGTCCAAAAGACAAAGCATAATTAGTCGCTTAAAGGGTGCAGAGGCATTCACATTCTAGAACAAGATGTTCTAACAGCAGATCTACCACACAAGGTAAAAGCATTGCATCACTTTTTGAATATTGTTGATGATCCTGATGTCTGAGGAGCGCAAGAAACAATGCAGGAAAATTCTTCCTTTGCTTTTCTTCAGGGCTCACTCCACAAACCTCCCAGTGGAGCTTTATATGTACAGGATGTGTGTAAATGTGCAGCTGCAGCACCATTACCACAAGAACACTGGGAGTGGAGACACCCTAGAAATCCTAAACTACACACTTTGTAACTCCATCTGCTGCATTAACACATAATGGAGAAGTCATTAACTTTTGGGAACTTTAGTTTCTCTTTCTGTGCTCTGAAAAGTTTGCTGACAGGCTTACCAAGGGTTAATTAGTATTTTTCATTTTCTCTGTGTAATGGTTTTTCACAGCAGCCTTTATAACTGAGCTCTAGATGAAATTCCATGGCAGATAAGAAGTTTAGTAAAATTTGGGTGCTGCTGCTCTAAGATTTGTAAAGTCATCTGCGCAAAATTCATACTGGTTTAAGAGTTCTTTGAATTTCAGGCATCTGTAGACACCCAGTCAGTCACTCAGTGGATGGTAACAGGATTGTATCTGCTAACTGACCAGGAAAACATACACCTACAAGGAAATAGCTGGGTGCATATCTGAAAGTGCTGTTTACTTTATCTTATGGCAGCAGGCTAAAACTTTGCTCTTCAAATCTTCCTGAACCCTAGCTCTAGCACCAAAGTAAGGTGCCATCTGCCACCACTGACACGCACATTGCAGAAAACAAGCAATTAAGAGGTTTGCTAATCAAAACACAAGTCTTTTGCATGCATAAAAATGTAATGCTGCTTGAGGAAATTGTTTGGAGATCACCTGATGACTATCTCCTCCTCCTTTGTGAGGCATTTCTCATGGTTACTCACAGGATCTCCAGACAAAATGTTCTCCCACAGGCAAATCATTCAGAAAAACACTGAATCAAAGGTAGCAACAAGGCTTTGGAACAAACAGCAGTAAGTGTTCAACAAGACCAATAGCCAGCACCCCAATCTGCCCTAGGGCACCTAAAGCTTGACTTTGCAGGCTGTGACTCAACACAAGAAATGGCTGTCTCCTGGAGAGGGAGTAGGTTTGTACAGGTTTTGTGTGCCTTCACACTCTAAGTGTTGCATACAGCATCTGCCCTATAGAAAACAAGCCTTGCATTCTCTGCTATGCTGAGTTTTCAAAATGAGCCTCAGCTCCCTCCACAGAGACACAGTTTGATGAGGAAAAAGCACCGGGTAACAGGATTCTTGCCCAAAAAGTTAAACTACTGCTGTGCTCAAAAGTAAATGTGAAATGAGGAGATCCATCCAACCCACTGCATATACATAGGCATTGTTCGCTCTGCTGAGAATTCTTCTGCACAACTCTCATTTGTATCTGTATTCAGATCCTTCAAATAAAGGTTTTTTCCTCCTCCTATTTTTCCTGAACTGGGTCTACCTTAGAAAGAAGAGAAATAAAGTAGCAGATTCCAGTCAGTCTCACACTGGTGAAAAGCAAAGGGTGGTAAATGTTTAGCAATGGTAAAGGGAATTACAGCTGTATTTGATATAACAGCAGTTAAAGTAATGCAATTTAGTTTGCAGTTTATTTTGCAGCCTTCAAAAATCAGTAAAATTGGTCATATTAATTGAACTAATTACATAATTACATACTGAGGTGAGATTAAGAAATACCAGACAAATAGCTATGTACACTTGCATAATATCATGTTTGCCTTTACCCACTTGCCTATGAAAGATCTGGAACCAGTTTTGACTGCAGTCTGCAAATACAACATGATTCAAAACAAAAGCTTCAAATATGATGAAGCAAGATAAAAAAAATACTTAGGGAAGAAGAATACTTAGTTGCTGCAGCTGCACATTTACTGTACACATGTCCTATACACATAAAGCTCCACTGGGAGTGAGTGAGCACTGAAGAAAAGCACAGGAAGAAGTTTCCTGTTCTTCTCAGCAGATTGTTTCTTGCACTGCTCAGACATTGGGATCATCAACAATATTCAAAGAGTGATGCAATGCTTTTACCTTGCATGGTAGGTCTGCTGTTAGAACATCTTCATCTAGAATGCCTCTGCATCCTTTAAGTGACTAATTATCCTTTGTCTTTTTAATTTGTCTTACTTCATCAATATAGGAAATGCCACATAAAAACATACTTTCCTTATACTCTCAGCCTTGTTTCAGGACAAAAGTGAGTGTGCATATGTGTGAATATGTGTGTAATTAAGCATGAAAAGCCTTTGCAGTGCTTACATCAGGTCATCTGAATTCTTAATCTCACCTTTAGTTTCTACCCTGCTTCCTGAGAACTGCAGTGAAAGAGAAATAAGCTACACCACGTGGTCAACTGGCTTAAGCTCTTATAACAAAAAGATTTCCAAAGTCAGTCATCCCTAGCTGAAAGTGTCCCTGTTCCACTGCTTTTTATTCTTCTCTGTGGATTTTTGCCAGTGTTTTCTATACTTGACCACCACTGAAGCCTTCAACTGCCACTTGGATTACAGCTCTGTTTGAGTGTTTATCATTCTAGTCACCGCAAACAGGAAAGGCCAAACCTACAAAATCTGTACCCTAGAAAAATTTGGTAGCTTGTGGACTGAGCTTATTAAATGGTGTGAAAGTTTATCAAGAAACATTGCTTCATTAATAGAAGTTGGTTGTGTCTTTTCCCCAAATGTAAGCCATTATTCTTCATTCTGGATGTGAAAAGTCATAGCCCATGTAGCCAACACAAGCCTAATACATGAAATGAAGACATCTATTTCCTACCCAGAGTGTTCAAACTCAAGATCTGTTTCACTTGAACTAAGGCTAATTTAATAACAGAAGTAACAAATACCTTTAAGGGCTGAGAAGAGGTTATTTAAACTAAAAGACATTAAATGAATGGGGTACAATAGCCTGAAGGGTACTTTTGGAAGGGTTGGAAGGGCTTATTCTTAGGAACAATTATTTTCTAGTACCTCTTTTGATCCTTTTGTTTTTTTTCTTTGCTATATCAATTGACTTTGTTTTCTCATCACTTTTCCTCTCTGAAGACCTTTCAGGTTGCAAAGGACTGTCTTTCCTGACCCTTCTCTCCAATCTGGCTTTCTAAACCCAGGGTGACGGCTGAGGTGGTCTTTGAGATCAAATTATCCACAGAAGCTGAGATCAGCCCTCATTTGATTATCTTTAGAGTACTGAACTGATAAGGAGTAAAAGCCCAGATGGATGACAGCAGGTAAGGCACTTCAGACTGTCTGAACGTTTGGACCCGGTCTCCTGTGAGAGCATCAGCAATGACATTTTGGCTGTCTCACCTTAAAACTTGCACAGGCTTAACTAAAGCCAGAAGTCAAGTGTACTTCCGGTCACAAAACATACAGGTACCTCTTCAATTGCTTTTCTTTTTGCCAGCATTTCCAGTGGAGCTTTGGCTATAAGAACTCATGCTACTCACTTGGCTTTATTTTGGGCCAGTCTGCTGCTTCTATCCTGTGGTCTTCGTACTTCTTGCCCGAATAGGCAAAGAGGTAGCGGCTGATCTCTGCCCGTCCCCGCAGGTTGAAGTAGGTGAGCTTGTACTGTGGCATGCTGGACCCTGCTGGGAGGGGAGACACAGCTGCTTCAGACAGGGTTAACTCAACTCCTTTTTTACAAAACCACTCTGTCTGCTTGGTTTTGACAGACATGCTTGTACAGTGCAGAGGAAATATTACACCAAGCCCTGGTGCGTTGCACTTTGCAATTGTTGCATTGCTCACACCTTCTTGTTCCGCATTTGTCAGCCACAGCACACGCAGACGTGGGCAGACAGCTGAACCTGCGGTTCCTCCTTGAGTGACTCTTGAAAGCTGACTTGATTTTTTTTTTTTCCAGATGTAATACGAAGTTTCAGCTTTCATTTATTTCTCTTGTCACTCCAAACTCAGGCCATCTCTAAAGTGATTTTTGGTTTGGTTTTCTTCTTCTTTATCAGAAGACAGTTGTTATCTCGAGCAGCAATTTTGTTCAGACCTGCCCTGCTCAGCCTCTATTGCTTATGCAGACCTTCATCCAAGACCAAATCATTTGAATTACCAAACTCTTGTGATTCTTTGCATCAATTATTACCCAAGTTGTATAAGCAATTGCCCAAAGTTATTTTAGAAGAAAAATCTGCTATGGAAACTAGGTTACAGTGTTGTTTTGAGAAAATCATCATTGAATTTTCAGTTTTTGTACTGAAGCCAAAAGAAAACTTGAAATTATTTTTTTAAGTTTTCATGTGATTTATTTTTTTCCCTTCCGTCCTAGTTAGGAGTCATGTTACAGGAACGTTCTGTTTGTTTCCCAGGGTAACAGGCAACAAAACATAGTATTTGAGGGTTTGATTGTGTAGCAAGGATGGTACAGAAAGGTGAACAGATAAGGTTGCTTTAAACCAAAGGTAATAATTTACACATAGCACTTTCATAAAAGAGCTCAGCGGAGATTTGAGTGTGCTGGAGAAAGGATAGTAAAACAACCATCTGCCTCCTCACCCAAAGCAAAACCCTTTCTCATTTTTGCCTTGAAGTAGACATTGCATTTACCATTCTTTTATATGCATCACATTCAGAGGGTTTGTAAGAAAGCCCAGAACACAGATCATCTGCACCAGGACAGAAAGGGAACTTTTTTTTTTCTTTTTTTCATGCACAAGTACTACCATATAATCTCACCATCAAACCCCCTTTAGTCATCTTGCCTTGAAAACATGTGCTTGAGGAAATACATCATCAGCTTTTGCTTTAGACAGGGAAGATCTTCATTCAGAAACAGAAAAGCTTACACTTAACTCACACCAGAAAGAGCAAACTGCTTTTGCCACTTGCTCCTCTAAACTCAAAACATATACCTTCTGTCTTCAGAGTAGCAAAAGCAAAAAGAAAACCCAAACAAAACAAAACAAAAAAAAAACCCCAAAAACAAACAAACAAACAACAAAAAAAAAAAAGGCAAATGAGCACATTAGAGACTGCTTAATTAATTGTAAAAGTTTTCTGCTGCCCTACAGCACACAGCAGGCTCAGAAGTGAATTATTAGTGAATGGAGATTCACATTATTAGTGAATGGAGACTTATGTCAAATGGCCTAGCAGAGAAGCAGGAACAGAGCTGGAAAATTACCAATGGAGATATCTACAAGTGCTTCCAAACAGAAATTCCATTACAATTATTACATCAAGTGTGTTCCTTTGCACGGTATAAAAGTGAGAGGCTCCAGGTGAAATGAGTTGCATCAGGATGTGATTAGTTTTTTTACATGTGTTAATTAAGGGAAAACACATTTGTCTGCTGCTTGGCAAAGGCAGCTCGCAGATTACAGGTGCAACCCCTTCTTTCTCTAAAGAGAGAAATTTTGACAAACCCACCTTTATTCAAGCAAGTTTTAGGTAAGTGACAGAGGTTGGCTACTCAATTTTCAAATTTTATACCCAGATTTATTACTTGGTATGCTCTATGGCATATATGATTAAATAACATACTATTATATACTATGAATTCAGGTTATGTGTCTAGAAAGTTAATGTAAGAAGAGAGAATGAGATCACAGCAGGATTTTCTTCCCTTTTCTCCCTGCTTCTGATTTGATGCTGTCATTTGAGAGCTAGGAATGGCATTTTTAAAAGGGCATGTGTTATCTGAGATTCATGACAGTGATTCAGGAACCAAAGGTAAAAAAACCCAAACCTTGAGTCTTAATTTTCACGTTTTTAGAGACAAGTAAATGCTACTGATTTAGTCTGATTTAGTGTCTGTTTCCCTCCTTTAGGAGTGTCCATAGAGTTTTTTCCCTAAACACCTGTAGCAGTCCCAATGCCCTGGACTTGCTACACCACTCACACGTGGCTCTGGTTTCCTGGCTGCCTCTAGCCCACTCAGCCCTCTGTTAGCAAATAGCTGCTGGCAGCTGGAAGGCATTTAAAAGCAGAAGAATAGTAGATTTTTAAGGTGCAGTCATGAGGGAGCAGACAGCTACACAGAGAGAGGGCTGGAGATAGCGGAGGCCTGAACATTCCAATAGGTGAGTGTGTTGGAAGAACCTAATGCTTACACTGGGAGCTCTCTGTACACAAAGGCATGTCCAGCCAGGAGTAGTGAAGTGATGTAAAGAATTGGGAATTTTGGCTGATGATTAGCAAGTCTCTCTGCCTGTTGTGATAGACAGTGGAATAGTTTGGTCTGTCAAGGAAGCAGGGGAAGCTATTGTTTGAGTTGTCTAAAGCAAAGCTAAACAAACTTCTAATGAACACACCATAAGGAGTAATCAACTATTTGTAGTGGCGATGCACTTTTAAGCTTATGATTTTTTTTCCATCCATGAGCAATAATAAAAACAAAACTAAAACCAACTCCACAAGGAGTTTACCAAAAATACGTGACATTTTAAAAGCCTTTATAGGTTTACTGTAAATGTGTTTTCATAAATATTTGTAGGTTTTATTTTTTATTTATATTTACTGTGAAATGTCAGGAGTAGTGCTTCCTAAACAATTACAGATAAGTTTCTAAATGAAAGAAATTGTTGTGTTCAAAATAGCTTTTTGCCAAACATACAAGTTAAGCTCTTAGGGTTTTTTTTCCTTGTCCTCCTCTCCCTCATTTCCCCAGTGTGTTTTATAAAGAAGAGGAACATGAGGAACAAATTAAAACCATTTAAACCATCCAGAATTACTGAATTATTGAAAAATGTCATTTCTACGGGAAAAAAGATCTATTTGATGTCTTTGAGTTGGTTTTTGGGGTGAAGATCTTGGGGGTGTTTTGGAGGTGGAAAGCAGGAAAATCTTTATCTAAAATAGTTTCTCTTTTTTTAGGTTATTTATGGCTTAAAACACTGAAAGATGGTGGTGGTGGGTGGACCTCAGTGCCCAGACTTGCAGGCATTTAGCCACCTTCTTAATGCTATTAAATCTGTTCAGGTGAGTTCATTGCAAAGCCAGGTGTGTATAAAAGCAGGAGGGGGTGATTTACCTTCCACCAATAAACCTGCCACCTCACCAGTATTTTTCCAATTTCTATTCTGATGAATACATGGCTGGGACAGCCCTGTACACCTGCCCTGTCCTATGCTAACAGAACTTCTGAGAGGGAAGCTGATGTCTTTACACACAATTTGATGAAGATGTGGGTGTTAAAGCCTTTGAAATGGATCTTAATGTCTCTACTGACTCTGGGCTGCAGGTTGGTTGCTGAGCCCAGGCAGCTTGGTCCCTGAAACAGACAGGTGTCTGCACAAGCTTGAGTCTGGGAACTCTGGGGAAAAATAGTAGGTTCAAGGGGGCATATGTGGCTGTACATAGTGCCACAGCCAGTGGGAAAAGGAGGAGGGCAACATGTGGCTGGGAGTTTAGGATCAAAGGAGGCTGTGTCCTCCGAAACCTCGAGAGAGAAAACCCACTGGAATCTCTCCCTTTATTTGAATAAAGTCCTGCAACTTTATTCAAATAAAATTTATTTATTCCTGTGTCTCCTTTTTGGACACAAACCTCTAGCATTTGTGGATTTTCCTGACACTTCAGTCCCAGTTTCACTGCATACAGCTTTCAAAGCCATGAACTCAACAGCTTTAAAGTTACTATTAAATTAGCTTTAATACTTTCGGGTTGTTGACCCGCTTAGCTGATTTTCCAGCTTTCCTCCGTGACTTTCTGGAAGCCAGCTTAACTGGCTTTAACATACCTTTAAACAGAAGATTAATGGATCTCATGATTAAATTCAGTCTTGGAGCCACCCAGTGACAAAATCAAATGGGAAATCTGACAGAATGTCAAATGTGTGTAAAGTTGGCATCCACCATTATACTTATGGGTCAAAAAATCATGGTGGAGTTACAAGTGTCTAAAAATTTTATGACAGATTTCAAATTATTTAAAATTGTTTTTGGCTTTAAGGAGATACTGTAATTCCTGATGAACTTGGGATGCTTTTATTCCAGTTGAAGCAGGACTGAGCAATCTATCTGAAAACTTCAAGCAAGACTAGAGTTTAAAAACAGAATCCCCCAAGGAACCAGCATTTTCTGGGGACTGAAATACTGAGTTTCAGATACCAGCAGTACAGAGGAGAAAAAGCACTGGCAGACTGGGCACTGCTCAGGATGATTTTCATCTTTGTACCCGGAGCACGCAGCCTCTGCTAGCCAGCATTTGATCCTGCGTGCCCAGCCTCAGCAAAATAAAGCACCAAAACTCTGCTGGGCTCTCTAGTGGAATGGTGTTTCATCTCTCTTTTGGAAAATCCTGCCCTCAAGGTAATACCAAGAAAATATTCTTCAGACTGGTAAAAGGCACCAAAACCTGGATGCATGTGAAGAACCAATTAACTTTTGTTTATGCCTCAACAGAGACCGCTGCCATTTTAGAGTCTTTAAGCAGACAACGCCCTCAGAAAATGGAAGGAAGCTCTGGTGGGATTCACCTGGCAGTATGCCTCAATATTGTCCAGGTTTTATGCTACAAATCCATCTTTTGACACAGGTGGTAAATTACTACAGAGTTTTAATGCATGCTATATGCAGGAGGCAGCTGGGACACGTGAGGGGGCAGAGGCCACCGCCATTTTAGGGTCTCTGCATGGACAAGGCCTTGAGAAAATGGCAGGAAGCTCTGGATGTGGGGAGACTTCGCCTGGCAGTCAGTCAGGGGAGAGAAAGCTCCCGCCATTGGGCTGCAGGTGGTGAAACTCTTGCTGCCTGGGAACAATCCTCCCTGACTAGCCAGTGCTCAATGGGACTACGGGAGGAGCCTTAGTGCATAAACGCAGTTAACTGCGCCATGTCCAGGACCCGCTGTCTCAATTTCTAGGAGAGTGGGAGGCTTGTCTGGAGGTTTGGCTCATTCTGCCCTGCTGTTCTGCTTGCCCTGCCTCAGCCACGTGGTCTACCCTGCCTCTCTGTTCCCTTTTTTATCCTCCTTTGGTAGGAACGCATCTTTCTTTACCGATAAACACTTCTCAGATATAATATTTCCCATGCTTGTGCTTTATTTACACCGAGAAATCTGTTCAAATTAATCCCTCAGTTACTCCTTTGCAGTGGAACACGACAATGGCAGGTACTCAATGTGTGAATTCAGAGAAAATATTTTGAAATAAGGTAACATATGATTACATTTTCCTGTACAGCGTTGTTAGTATTTGAGATGACAGTCAGCAAAGAGCTTTCCCTGAGCTGCGGATGAAGAGGGGGAAAAACCAGCTAAGCTGAGCTGTGTGTTGACGTGTATCCAAAGCCTGGCAAAGGGCCTTGTAGTGCAAAGTCCCCTTTAACTGTACTTTGTACTGCAAGAAATTAAGGGTTTTCTAGTCTGAAGGTTGCATTAACGTTAGAGGATGTAAAAGAGCGCAGCTGTTCCCTCCAGGAAGCAAGACCAGTAGGGTTGAGGTCAGGTTCATCTGGGTGTTTTTAAAAGTTGGGACTTGAACTGTGTGCCTGGAAAAGATGATGCACTGCACTGTGTTTATATTCATTCAGCATGAGGGTTCTTCATTAATTTAGGAGTCACTTATGGAAAGTGCCACAATTAGTGCCTGACACAATGCTGCCCTCACTGTGGGCCTGCCATAGAAGGGGAAGGTGCACGTCTTTGTCTGCCACATGTCACTGTCCTCTTTTGAATTGCAACCACAGCATGACAACGATTCAGGAGTGATGATTCAGTCAATGGATACCTCTTAATTTTATTGTAAGATTAAGCTTTTATAACAATTCAGAGTGCTTTTATTGTAAGATTAACCTTTTGTAACGATTCAGAGTGCTTGAGTTGCTGGAGCTGATTATATATTCCATTTTCATTACTTTGCAGGATGAAAGTATAACAACAAATCAGCTTTCACTCATGTAAGCCTACAGGTATCTCTCTGCCAAGAAGAATCTTGCTTTATGACATGTGAATTGAAGTTTGTGTCCTCCCTAAGCACTACTCTATGCTAAGGTGAGAAGATTTGCAGACATTTTTCTTTGGTTTTTTTTCTAGTGCTGTCTTCAAAGCATTTGCTGTTTCTTTGACATTTTTCCGCAAAGTTAGCCTGAAAAATCAAGGAAGTTTTGAAGCAGATGTAAACCAAACAACCTGATTTGGATGTCCTACAGGGGTGGATGGGGCACTGCAATTTCACCCAATTCTTATATTTACTCATATATTTCTGCCACTACGCAGTCTGAAGTCTTAAAAGCATTTTAGTGAATTAGTAAATTAGTGTCAGCTGAATGTTTTCCATTAATGGCAACACTGGGATTTCAGAGGGAAGATTCTTCCTTGTCTCCCTTACTCCCAGTGACAGGGCCATGAGCACAAGTAGTGCTCATGTCAGCTAGGACACTCAAATTAGAAAAGTTGAGAAGGTGGCTGGGTATCTGCATATACAGACAAAAGAATCTTTGCACATTAAAGGAGCAATCATTCTTAGGCTGTCATCTCAGGAGTTCTCCAAATAAGCATGGATTTTTGGTTCTGTTCCTTAGGGATTGGGGGGAGTTGTGTTACTTACAGAGTAGGAAGAAAAATCTTTAACCAGGAAAGAGACTTAGTCTGTCCTGTTTTACCTCAGAAACATTAGGAATAATAAGTTCAATTTTGTCCATCTTTGCTTATTGTCCTTGTCATATATGTGAATTCCTCATCCCTGTGACTGGAGAGCTGAGCATTCAAGGAGCTTTCTCCCTCCTCAGTTTTAAAATTATGTTTTAGCTGTCCAAGTGAGTCTTTCTGCCTTTATTTGTTTAAATTTTCACATTTCAGAGGAAGGAACCAGAGAGACAAAAAATAGTTACTGTATGAGACAAGTAAAGCAAAGCTTCCACAGCTGTAACTTTATAAAGTGCACAATGGAGGAAAGATAAAAATATTCATGTGCAGTATTTCTTCCTTTTTTATTTAACCATGATAACAGTTGAAGTTTTGGGGAAAGGCATAATTGTTTACATTATCCCGTTTGAGCAATGTTGAAAAGGCAGAAACCATTTGAGAAGCAGTCTTGCCCTTCCTGCAGGTGTGGTGCTGCACTCCTCCTGGTTACTGATCAAACTGGTTGCTGCAGGAATGTCTTCAATTTTTTTGAGTGAAAAAATATTAGCAACTTAAGAGATATTTTCAGCCTTTGAAAACCAAGAATAGTGCTGATTTAATAATTTGGGTTGGTTTTTGTTTAGTTTTGTTTTTTGGGTGTTTGTTTGTTTTGTTTTTTGTTGTGGGGGTTTTTTTTTTTTTCCTGCAAAAGATGTTTTTATTAGGTCTTTTTTTTAGCACAGAGAATAAGAAATTTTCTGCCCATCCTCTTGGGGAGAAGGATTAGAGAATATTGGCAGATTGATGGAAGACTGCAAGTCTTCCAATGGAAGATTTCCACAGCAGTCTGTTTTGACAGAAGATAAAATTAAAACCTCTAAGTAGTTCTATTAGCTGTCAGCTCTCAGTCTGACATAGGCTCTCTTTCTGAAAATTGATGGTCTCTTTTCCCACTCTAGTCCAATCATAGAAAATAAGCACATGGAATTGGTATCTTATACTTCTAAGCCAGATAGCAATCCGGACCTTGGAAAGAAAAGAGCAAAAAATCTGTGTATCCTTTTCTGTTTAATACACAAATCATCTGAAGTAAATGTTTATGGAATTTCATGTAGGGTCAAGTTTTGAAATAACAAATTCCAACTATAATGGATACTCCTTAGCATGATTTTGAAGGTTACATAGCTGGATCACTTAGAGCATAATATAGATTTAAATTCTTTTTTAGAAGGATTTTGCATGTGCATTCACCTGCTGTGCTGCTTATTTGTGACCTGTGAGGGAAATCAGCATCCTAACATGAGACGAGGTTTTAAGGCATTACTGTAAGAGTATTGAGTAGCACTAATGGTTATAATTATTTTAAGTGATCTGATGAGTAAAACTCTACTGTCTGAGCAAAGCCTGACCTATCAATATGTGGACTTAAAACAAAAAAAAAAAAAAAAAAAAAAAAAAAAAAAAAGGAGCTGTAGGAGATCTTAAAGCAATTATTTCTCCGAGGAAGCTTCAGGCTGGATTTGCTGGTGTGGAAAACCACAACTCAAAAAAATCCTTCAAGAACACAGGAAAAAAAACCCCTTGGTTTTTTGCTGATTTTTCTTTTAAATAAACACAATGTATCAGTAAAAGAGGGAGATTAGAAAGATATGAAAGGGTTTTTTTTTTTTTTTTTTCTAAGTGGGAGTCCAGCATGAATGGGCAGATGGGTGTCCACTGTCAAGACTGGTTGAAGGAGAATGCCAGACCCCACTGGGCTTCCCTGAGCTGAATTTGTGATTGCCCCTCAGGCAACTGCAATCAAACTGATCCTAATTAATTCAGATATCTGACGTTCACCCTGTTTCAACTGAAGTGAATGAGGGAACTCTCACATGTCAGCAAGATTAAGGAGGCAGGGAAGTGGTGACGGACAGGGCTTTGCTCAGCCACCTCAGCAGCGTGTCCTCAGTCTGCCTGGCTTGCCACACCCTTCCCTTTAGGGCCTGAGCATCTGTGGGTGACTATGCTTTCTGTCTGATCCTCAAACTTTGGATTTATCTGCCAAGTAGATACTTGGTCCCAGTTTTACATAGAGAACGTTTGAAATTGTTTTGTGCAGCCTCTTTTAGGTTAATAAATTGCATACTCAAGACCATTAAATACTGGTAAATAAAATTGCAAGAGATGTTGGTAAAGATACAAAGAAGTGGTTAGAATCCTTTCTCAGGAAAAACTACTTAAGTCTCTTATTTCCACATCAGCTGTTTCAAGAATTCCCAGAAGCATTTTGTGGTAGAACAAAAGCCTAAATAATCTTAATGCCTGCCAACCCCATGTCATTGCTGTAAAATTCATGCCTTGCATCTCTCTCTGCACTCTTCAGATGAATCAGCATGACCTAATAATATTCCTACAAAGCTCAGAGCTCAGTTGTGAGCAGTGTAGCTCTGTATTGTTTAGCTGGCTCTCCAAAGCCAGCTGCTTTTTGCCAGGATGAATCATGTCCATTTTCTGATCTCTCAAGCCTGTCCAGCACAAAATTTTGTAAAACAACTGTCTTGGCCACCTAGCAGCTTTCCTTGGATGTGAAAAAGTGGTCTTTTTTTTCTTTCCCAGACATGTGTGGGTGTGAGTGCGTGTATAAGTGCAAGGGGGAGTACAACACCAAATCCTTCCCCCTGAATGTCTAAACTACTTTGCTCTTGACCTGTTGCATGTCGTCAATCTACTGTATAATTTGCTAAAAACACCCCAAAATTATAGGCATGAAAGAATTAGATTTTAAGCACTGTATATGACCCCTGTAGCAAGTACAGGTTTGACTGGGAATGGTTTTTATTCACTTTGCAGAATTCTCCAGTACCACCCACTACGTGCCCTGGTCACAAATTCCTGGTGTCCTCCTGCTCTGCGCTGCAGTGTCTGGCACAGATCACTGTGCCCAAGAGGCATCAGTACAGTGGGCTGGGGCACAGATCTCAAGTATTTTCAGATATTTTGAAATTCTTTTCTTAGCCAGAGTGAGGCTGAGGAGACCCAGAACCTTGCTAAAGTGTTCTTCAGGCATTGCCAGTCTCCTTGAGAGGACCAGCGATGCCAAATGTGGACCTACAGCTCTGAGCAACACCCAGCCAGAAGCCTGGGGACCACCCAAATTTAGCCATAAGAGAGAAACGTGCAGGACTCTTGAGTTACAGCAAAAAACTGCTCAGTATGTAAAACCCTAACCTGTGTGTTCCTACACTTAAGCAGAAAGTACTTTGTGAGAGGCAGTTTGCTGCCAGTTTCTCATGGAAACTGCAGATAGTCTGGCTCTGGGGCAGTCCCAATTGCTCTGTGCCTGGCACAGAAAATGGTCCTTTGGCTGAGACATGCAGTTACAAATCACACATTCTTTTTTGTCATACATCAACTAAACTAAGCTTGTGAGACAGCTTAAACCTTTGTTTGCCTGCCCTCTTTGCATCTGCTACAAATACAAAGCATAGTACACTCTGCCTGGTATCATGGAATGACCTTGTTTTCTCTCTTTTTCCATCTCTTGCTTATTTACTAAATCATTCCAGCAATATTTTTAGTTACTTCTAAAGAGATTCAAAAGCAGGCATTTCAGTTTTTTTCAGTTCATTGTTGTGGCTTGTTTTATGTAAGTTTAAGCAGATTGCCTCAAGATTAGACAAAGTTCTTCAAAGTGGTGGCACTTTGAAATGTATGCATTGGATTTGGCTAACTTCTTTCTTTTTTCTCATGCTTCTTGGACTGCAAAATGGGTTAAAAAAAAATCACCTGTTTGAGATTTGCAGCATATATGAAAAGGCTCCAGCAGGTGTGAATGAGCATAGCTTCCTGTGCCCCCTGCTAGCCCAATGCCAGCCCTGTCAGTGGCTCCTGGGCAGTGTAATTACTTTCTGGTGAGATTTTGGTCAAGGATGTTTTGAAAATGAGCATCAGCTTCAACTGCTTCTGCTTTCCAGCTGCTCAGGATAAGGTGGGACAGACAGCAATGAGAAATGTTATGAGCAAACATAACAGCTTAGAGCAGGAGAGCATGTTGGGCAGTGGCACAAGAGTGTGCTGCACTGGGTAACATGCTTGCTCGTGCAGGAACCCAGAACTCTTGTAAGAATTACTTTGTGTATATTTTCAGTTTAAAATCTGGAGAGCTTCCGTCTTATTTCTATACAAACAGATTTGACTGTGTGCCTGGGCATGGGTGCATCTGCAGCAGGGAGTAATTTACACAATGTGCACATTTTTAGGGAGAGGTGGATTCTATTTTGGATTAAATAAAACAAAAGAATGAAAAAAGTAAACTTAAAAAAGACCTCTGTGTCTTTTTTTCTTTACAAACGTTGCAAATTTTGAGTATAAAAGTACTTGTGTTTACAAACAGTTGTAAGGAGTACAGAAGCCCAGGAAAGATACTTTTATAGCTACGGTTTGTT